AACCGGACAGTCCTGCTGTGGTGGGGAGGCTGCTGAGGCCAGGGCTGATGTTCTTCTCAAAATGAATATGTTTTTCCTGAACTTCCAGCCCTTGCTCATAGCTGTGCTCCAGCCTGTTCTCCCGAGCCACACAAATCACAGGGAAAGGTAGAACCCAAAGCTGCTCCATAAATCCTCTTGTTTGTGCAGTTTTGTATGCCCTCGGGGGGTACTTCTGCTCCTCTAATAATTATTTATATTTTGGAAACAACTCCGTGGCCGCCAGGCATGATAAAAAGACAGCAACACCTTGTGAATTCTATCAAACTTTAAATGTGATCTTTTCATTAATATATTCAAATTAAATTGCTACCATTTGCCCAACAAGCCAGGTGTGTCCTGGGGGAGAGAAAACAACTTTTCCACAGCCCCAACTTTTCCAGGCTCCCTTTCCAGCCTGGAAATGTGCTGGAGCAGAGCTAGAATGTCGTGATCTGCTTCTGCTCCAAGCTCTGGGCATCTCCCAAGGGTTTTTCAGTGTGTTAAACATGCAAATAAATTTATTTGGGTGGTGGTGACTCCGATGTGGGTCCAAAAATTCCCAGCAAAAATCACCCCCACATTCCCAGCAGAGCGGTGATTATTCAGTTGTGCTGATGTTGGCTTGGAGGCATCCTCAGAGCTCCTCTTTCCCTCATTCCAGGCAAGGAAGGGCTACCAGAAAACCATCCTGGAGATCAACACGCCCAAAGTGGAGCAGGTGCCCATAGTCGACATCATGTTCAATGACTTCGGAGAAGCGGCACAGAAATTTGGATTCGAGGTGGGACCAGCTTGCTTCCTGGGCTAAAAGAGCCACCTGAACCTAGTCTCCAAATGAGCAACCTCGTAACCTCATTGCGCCATTTAATTAAAAACAAAAAAAGAGAAAAAAGGAAAAAAAACGGAGAAAAAAAAAGAATTCCTCGTCACGTGCACGGTCTGAAACTGGACAGCGATGGGTTATTATTTTTTTTTCCCCTCCTCCTCCTCCTCCCCACCTGTTTTGTTGTGTCCCTGGTTCTGCCCCAGCCCCTCTGTGCCCCCCTCAGCCATTCCCAGGATGGATATGGAATCTCATGACCAACAGCCACACACGGAGACCTGGCCCTGTCCCTGCTGCTGCCACCGAGCTGAGCCCACCTCCAGCAAACTCCTCCTGCCTCCTCCTCCTCTTCTCACCAGGAAGCGTTTGTTTGCTCCTAAGGAAAAAAAAAAAAATGGAAAAAACTTGAAATTCCTCGTGTCCAGCTCAATGTTGAAGTCCTGGCAGTCCTGGATCTGAAGCTCCTCAGAGGGGTTTTGTTGCCTTCCACGAGGTTTGGATCAGCTCCAGCATGGCCAATTCCAGAATTTTCCATGTTTCCTCCACTGAGTTTGCCTCATTCCGCGTTTTCCAAAGTGCTGACTCAAGGTCACACTGGGCATCTCTTTGCCTTGTCTTAAAGGTGCTTCTATTTTTGTATGTTTGTGAGTAAATATTTGTGTTGTATTTTATTTGAAATGTTGCAATGTCTCCGCCTTCAAACCATGCGTGTGACCTTGTCTGTATTGAAGCCACCCCATCCCAGCCAAGCTTCCAGCTGGGAACGAAGACAGCAGCTCCTGTCCCCACTTGTGCCTCTTCCCAGCCCCAAACTGGGATCTGGAGCCTTGGAATTTCCCCCAGGATCAGGTGCAAACCAGCCCCCTGAGCCACAGATGCCTTTTGGAATGATTCCTTTCCAAATGAGGAAATTAAAGCCACTTTTTTAACAAAATTCCCTACAAATCCCCTAATCTAAAAGCAGGATCTGCATTGAGTCTCTGCCTTTTCATCCACCTGCCTAACACCCATATTTTAAATTAATTCTTCTTTTTTTCTTTCAGCATTCCTTTAAAATGATAAGAATTAAACCTGAATCCATTCCCAGTGGCAGATCCCAGTGGCAGGGGAAATCCATTTGTCCTCTCTGAATATCAAGAATAAAATAAAAAAACCTTAAAAAAAAAAAAAAAAAAAAAAAGGTGCTTTATATAGTTATTTTTACATATCTCTGTGGTGCTATCTGATAACTTTAACACAACACTGGGGATACCCTGCCACTGGCCAATCTCCCACTTGGCTTTTTAGGCACTTTCAGGCAGATTTTGGCTGCTGATAAATGCATGGCACCTTCTTATCTCTTCTGTCCAAATCCTGCTCCTCTCCTTCCTTGGATAGGCCCATGTAGAAAAACACATTAAATGTCTACAATTTTTATTATTATTATTATTATTATTATTATTTGGTTTTCCCAAGGATATCCACGTCTTTTCCCGGTTGGAAGCAGAGCAGATTGTCCTCAGTGGCTGAACGTTTGTGGTGCTAATTTATGGAGATGTTGGGTGTCCTGAAGCCGTGGGGGTGCTGCCCGCCCAGCAATCCGGGGAATTTGCAATTTTTCCTGCTCTTCCCACTCTTTCTTATTCCTTCCACGGCTCCCAACGTGCTGACACCCTCTTCTTTTCCCATTTATTTTCCCTTCCTTGCCTGTTTGCCTTCTTCAGGTCTCTCAGCTGGAAAATAACCGTTGCAAGGTGGGGGTTTTATAAATTATTATTATTATTATTATTATTATCCTTCAGCCCGGAGCGTTCAGCTCAAGGGGGATTTTTCACCAGCAAGGAAAAGACATCACATTTACTGTGAAAAAAGCCTTTATATGATGTCTTTTCCCCCCTCCTGCCCAAATTGAGAGCAGCAGCATCCGAGGGAGGGAGCGGCGATGCCAGAGGTGCTTTTGGGGCCTGGAGGAGCCGTGTCCATCCCTCTCCCTTCTTCTCCTGTGCTCTCTCTCCCACTTTAGGGAATTTAAAAAAAAAAAAAACCCAAAAGGTGCTACCCTAAAAACTGCAGACTCCGGGCAGCAGAGCAGTGAAAAGGAATTTAGGATAATAAATAAGGAATTCAGCTTCTCAGTCACCTTGGCAACAGCGGGAAGGGCAGGGAAGGTTGCACATCCCAGCAAAGCCATATCCTGATATTTCTGATATTTTGATATTTGTCCACACCTGTGTGTGTGTGTCTGCCCAGGTCATGGGATTCTGTTCTCAATTTTCTCAATTTTCTCATCAAGGGAGCTTTTTTTCTTTTTTTTCTTTTTTTTTTTCCCTTTTGGTTTCTCTGCTTGAATTGAAGAAGAAGAAAAAAAAAGAAAAAAGAATAAAAATTTCCTCTGTTGAATTCCACAGTGTTGTAATTGTACTGAGCTCCCAACTGTTCCAATCCCCCCCAGACCACTTAGCTACGGTATATTGCAATAAAATTACTACTTGTATTTGCAGACCTTCTTTTTGTGTAATTTTATTTCCCTCCTCCCCTTAATATATATTGACTTGAACAAATGTTGATAAGAAAAATAAAACCTATGGAAAAAAAAAAACCCAAACTTCTAGTACATAAGGCCCTTTTTAAAATATAGTGTCAAATGCCGTATTGTACATTTCTTCAAAGTCCAATAAACATGTCATAAAATTTAAGTGTAATGCCCATAAGAGCTATTTTTAAATATTTTAAACCTGTGTAATAAAGGAATAAATGTAATAGATTTTTTTTTCCAATAAATCAAGTTTACTGTTTCCACCTAAACCCCCGTGATGTTGAATCTCTTCTTGGAGTTGATTGCAGCGGGATTTCCCCAGGACCCCCCTGCCCCGTGGAGCCTGGAAAGTTCAGCAGAGCTGCAGTGCAAGTGCTTAAAGGTAAAGAAATGCTGTAAAATACAACCCAAACCCACCATGGGGAGGAATTCCAGGCCTGGAATATTTTCTTTGTTGTATGTTGTTTTTTTTCCTTCTCAGTGAGAAGTTCCAGTGCAAAAATCCAATGTGGTTTTGGTTGGATGTGGAGGAGAAGATTGTGTGGCCACCAGCTCTTCACCTTCTTCACAGCAGCAGGAACTTCACCAGAGGAGTTTTTCTCTTGTTAATCTTCTCATACCAAGACAAATTCAGGAATAAAAGAATATTCCAGCTTCTTGGTGAACTCCTTAACCCCCAATTTCCCGTTCTTGGTCCCAGGGCTCTGCTGTGTGGAAGGAAACACCACAGGGGACACTTTGCTCATCCTCTCCTCCTCTTCTCCTGCAGGTTTCAGTCCAGGACCCTCTGGAATTCACTGTGGGAAACTCCACCAGTGGCTGCCACTGGATCCGAGTAACTCTGGTCCTCAGGAGCTTCTCCAAACAAGCCCTGGTTGGTGCTGCAGCTCCAGGAGATGTTGGACCTTCAGGAGGGGACATTTGGAGCTCTGCAGGTGGGTCAGGGGCCACAAGCCCAGCTCTGTGGTGGCCAAGCCAAGCTCTGTGTCCCAAAAGCTTCTGACCTTCATTCTTTGGCTGTGGGATCTCAGCATCTGAGTCCTGAGGTGCTGAGCCACCGAAACAGCCCTTGGGGGGCTCAGATGTCCTGGAACGTGGCCAGAAGTGTCTGGTGGCTGGACTTTGACCCTACACAGGAGACGACAACTGTATGAGGATAGGAGGATTTCACCGGGGTGAATGGTGAAGGGATTAGTTAATTAGAGGGTGAGACACAGGGTTTAGGATTTCTGTACAGGGGGGTTTAGAGAAGTAAGATGGAGGAATTGGGGCGTGTCCTGTCCTTCTTCTTCTTCTTCTTCTTCTCCTCCATCTTCTTTGGTGATGGTGGCACTTTTGGATTGGTTATTACTGAAAGTGCACCGGGTAATAAGAATAAATGGTATTGGGGAAAAATGATAAATATTGTACACGTAACCATGGGTATAAAGATAGGTGGCTGCCCCGGAGGGCAGCACAGTGTGCTCATGGCTGGCTGCTGAGCAGAGCTCTGTTGGGCTGAAAGAAAATCTTTTAGATAAACAATTAATAAACATAAAAACCGAAAGAAGAACTGAAGCCTCTTCTCGTCCTTCGATACGCGGGCTGCCCCAAGGCCACCCCGGGCCTTTCCAGGCCCTTCAAACAGCCGAAAACCGGACATTTGGCTGCAGAAGGTCTGTGATGATCTTCAAAAGTGTCCAGAGAAGGAGCCAAAGTCACAGATTGAGGTGGGTTGGAAGGGAAATTGAAGATCAGCCCCAGTTCCATGGGCAGTGCCTTTGAGGCAGGAAGAAGTTCATTTCTTCTCATAATGGAGCAATAAATTCCCTTTCTCTGAAAGATTCAGGTGTCCTGTGGCTGCTATCTCACTACCAGTCCTTTCTTTAGAAAAAGTAGCCTACATAGCACAGTTTCTATTTTAACATTTTGTTATAACCTAAAACTACATTTAACACACTGCTTAAGAGAATTAATGCAGCATCACTTTCTAACACAACACATATAACATTCATTGTAATATTTGCGAAAAGACAATCATAAAACACGATTTTTTCATGTGGGGTTTTATTTTAAGTGTCCTGCACTGGGAATTCTGCCCTGGGCTGGGATTTGTGCCCTGCTGTGTGAGGAGAGCAGGTAAAACCTGCAGAGTTTTCCCCTCGCTGTTGGTTCTGCAGGAAGATGTGTCCATGTGCTTCCCACACTGGTGCCAGGGGTGAAACAGGGGCTGCTGTGGATTTGCTGTCTGCCTGGGACATGGGAACTGTTCTTTGCTTTGATTTTCAGCCCTGCTCTGGAGGAAGAGGCGCAGCCCCTCGTGCTGCTCTGCGACCAGTCACTCCCTGCTTTTCATCTTGCATTCCCTTGCCTTGCTTCAGTTGGACTCCATCATCTCAAGGTGTTTTGCAGCCTGAAGGATTTTGTGATCTAACAGGTGGAGCACTGGCTGTCCCTAAAGGAGCCTATTACAGCGACCTTAGACGGTCACTGTGGTGAGAGAAGGACGAGAATCTTGTTTCTTGATCAGAAGGCTGATTTATTGATATAAGATATATAATACATTATAACTATACTCAAAGGAAGAAAAAGAGAGGTTGCAGAGAGCAGCTATGCTAAGAATAGAATAGAAAGAATGAATAACAAAGTTCTTTGCCCAGGGAATCTGTCCCTGAGCTGCTCCTGTGATTGGCCTTTAATGGTACACAAGGAAGATGAGCCAATCACAGGGACACTGCTACATTTAACAGCAGCTGATAACAATTGTTTACATTCTTCTTCTGGGGCCCTTTGCTTCCCAGAAGAAGAAGAAATCCCAAAGAAAGGATTTCTATGAAGAAATGTCTGCGACAGGAGCCCATCCCACAGGATTTGTAGGAGTGGGATGGAGAACAGAGACCAGAGGCTTTCACCAAACACAGCTGGCTTGGACCTGAGGCTGCACCAGCACCAACCAGCACATCCCAGTTCCTCCTGGGAGCTGGGAAAGGGGACAGGATCACAACCCTGGCCTGTCCCCCTCCCTGTGCCCCTCAGGGTCACATTGGGACCACAACTCCTGCTCTCCACAAGATGTCACAGCTCTGGCTGGGATGCTCCTGCTGCTGTCGCCTCGCCAAGAGATGTTCTTCCCCCATCTCCTCAAACCCTGTGTTTACAACAGACTGGTAAAAATAAAAATGGCCAGAAAAGGAGCGTTGGCACTGGTTAAATTTAGAGAGCAGATCCTGGGCATCCCCTCCCTGTCTAGGTGAGTTTTGGCAAACAAGAAGGGAAGCTGTGAATGTGTGTTCCATACAAAGGATGGAGCAGCCTGAGTGCCACCAGAGCTCTCCTGGAGAGACAGAAACAGCAGGACCAAGTGGGAGGCTGCAATGAGGAGGGGAGAGGATTGTGCATGAATTAGCATGGAGAAAATATGCAAATTGTTGGGTAGAGTGAGGCTCTCGTGGCATTCAAAGGAGCTGGAGCTATTCTTGTCCTTCAGCTGCTTTTTGTCCTGCATCTTCTCCCAGCCAGGCTGGATTTGGCTTGGGTTTGTTTTTATTAATGTCTCAAGCAAAAAGGAAAATTTATCTGACCCACAGCTCTGGGAAAAGGAAAAAAAAACCACAAAAACTGTCTTATATCTTCCTGTGAGAAAAAAACAAGTGAGCTGGAAGTGCTTCTGGCAGTTCAGCACCACCTGTAAATTAATCTACAGAGTGCCCAGAAAAGCTGAAGCAGTGCAAGTCAGATGTGTGCCCTCTCTTCACACCTTGCCCAGGAGCTGGGCCTCTGCAAATTACCTGCCCTGGCTTTCCAGCCAGACGATTCCCTTTTTTAAATTTTTTAATCTATTTTTTTACAGGACTGCTCAGTGCTGTGTGTGTCACTTGGCACCAGGAGCCTGGTGTCCCTCTGCCATGAGCTGGTGGGAAGCAAGGATTTATCATAATTATCCATCAATTATATTACCCCTGCATAATCTGGATTTTCCTTCATTTTTATTTTCTTCTCTTGTGCTTTTCCTTTGAGGCCAAGCTGGGCTGATGTTCCCAACATCTGTCAGGGGCTGTTTAGGTAGGGCTGCTGCTCTGCCATTGTGCAGTGACCCAAAACCAGCCTTGGAAATAATTCATCCTTCTTAATTCATCCTTCCCTCAGCACTTCCAGCTCTGGGGAATCCAATCCCTTTTCCCATTAGGGGATCTTCTGTGGAAATCCTGGATTTGGGGTCTTGCACTGAAAACCCATTTTGCTTTTGATCTGAGAGCGGCAGGAGTTTGGTGAGCTGGACTTTTATTAATGGCACCTATTGCCACCTCATTTATTCCTCATAACTTCTCTGCCTGCAGATTGTCCCCATCCTGGGGCATCGTGGCAGCAAAGCGATTTTCTCCAACCCGAGTGCTCCTATAGCAGCAAACAAAACCCAGTTCACACTCCTATTAACATCATTCCTCAAACATCCCCGAGGCAAAAACAAACACCCCAAAGAAACGGAGCACACAAAACCCTGCAGAAAGCAGCTGTTCCCTCCTTCAGAGGGGAGCCAACGTCGCTTGTTCCTTCGGAGAAGCGCAACGAGGGGAGCTGCGAAGCGCTGAAA